TGAAGTGAGTTGTTCCATGGTAGAGTGCTTAAGAGCTCATGGACTGTGTTTGCTGAAGAGACTGGTTGGTTGGGAAGCTTGAGTTTAAACATGTTGGATTATGAGCCTGGATTGTGAAGTGCCTGTTGGTTTCTCAAGGGTTGCAAACTAGTCTCAACTCGTGTGGACTTGAAGTTTCCTAGCAGGATTAAGAGTCCCGGAAGTAATGTGCTCGTGTCTATGGCAGTTGGCCTTTTTGGCACAGACATCACTAATAACTGTGGGAGTGTGAAAAGGACTTTACCAAGCTCTTGAAACAAAATGTTATGTGCTGCACGACTTTTCTTGTCCTCTTTTTTGTACTGCAACTCCTGTTGCAGGCAGCAAACAAGGAGACTTCCTCATTCTTCATCCTTCCTTTACTCATCATGCTAAACAGGTTTCACTTAGTCTTGTGTCCCATTTCCGTGTGGGTGAGCATGCTTTTTCAACGTGAGTCTTCCAACTTGCTTCAGAGTACATACAGTCCACGGTGATTGCTTAACACTGTGCTGAAGTGGAAGACTGTCAGATTGTCACAGCTCTGCAGATACGCCCTTTCTGAGTTTTTGTCAGTTCAAAGAGAGAAAGAGGAAAAGCAACTGTAGTTGTGGGATTCCAATGTGGTTTTTCTAAATGTGCAGGGTTACAGGAACTCGGGGCATAGATGGAGGCAATAGGTGTAAAGGCAGAGAGTAGGGCTGAAAAATGAAAGGGGAAGCAGCATCATCTTACAGCACAGCTGGCTAAGGGAGGGTAGTGGAGGGTGTGAGTCACCTTCTGAAAAAAACTGGTAATTTAGTAAGTCTTAATGAGAAAAGAGAAGGGAAACAGGATTTTTCTACTTTTTAAATTTTCCAGTTAAGTCTAGGAAGAAAATGGCTATGAAGCGTAAGTACAGCAGGAGAACAGCAAGCAGAAGCACCTCAGGGAGATGATCCCTCACATTGCCAGTTTTCAGAGATATCTGATGTTTTCAGGCCCCTTTATTATCATTAAATTACAGAGCAGGTTCTTGTGCAATAGATGCAACTCAGAGACATACACTTCTTAAAAGTGGGGGAGGAAAGATGCTGGCTGACAGCTGAGGTGCCAAACATACACCAATTTTTGAAACTACGAGAAGTTTGTCTAGGTAATTATTTAGAAGACAGGAGAACTTGTCTGCCGGCAGCTGGCAATTTTAAAGCAGTGTCAGGAAGGTTGTGTTTCCAGTCAGGTCTTGAACCACTCCCTGCAGTACCGTAACCTGCTCTTAGAGCTTCTCCTTCTGTTTTTCAGAACGATATCTTCTTACGCCATTACGACAGAGGCCCTTGCAGAAACAAGCTCGGCCACTCGCGGGCTTCAGTGATGTGGAACAGAACTCAGGTGTGTTCCTAGCCAGCTGGGCAGAGCTCTCATGCACACACGAAGCAAAGAGATTTTACCCTTCAGGGAAGGACCAAGAGGATTATTTTTGTTTTTTCATCTATCTTTTTTGTGACCTATGCTATGCTTATGCATGCACACGTGTCCTTTATTTTCCACATTAGCTCAATACCTGTTTTTCACCACCATGTCTTTCAGGTTGTGGGGATCCTCGTTGGACTCGGTATCATAGCACTGGTGACCTCTCCCTTGCTGCTGGTGGCATCTCCATGCATCATCTGCTGCATTTGCAAATCTTGCCGGAGCAAAAAGAAAAACCACAGCCCACCAACAACCTAAAGCTCTGTGTCTGTTTGAGTCTGCACCCGTACAGCATATGTATGTGAGAAAGCACATTGGTTGTATTTTGGTGCCACACCTACCAAATAATGCTCCTTTTTGTCTGCCAATTCTTGGGATAAGTGCCTATTCTTTACAGGTTATTCTATCACTAACAACTCCTAGTGTGGGAAAGATCTAGATTATTGTGCAGTATGTATGGTGTGGGCTTTTGCTTCCTGAAAAGGAAACCAGGACACCAGTCACTAGTTCATGCCATAAATATGAGACACCTTCCAAGACTGCTGGAACTTTCCCATTTTCCATCAGCTGCACGTGACTTGATCCTGCAGTGTTACCCTGCCTTTGCAGACCCAGTCATTACTGTTGTGCTTTCTGTTGGTTCTTGGTGACACTCAGATTTCTCAGAAAGTTCTGGGTATTTTGCGAAAGAGGGAGAAGCCTGATTAGATTCTTCTGCCTGGTAGCTTGTGTCCTGTTAAAGGTAACAAACCATTAAGAAAATGGGTTTGGTAGTTTCCTGTCAATTGACTGCCATGGCATTTCTTTCAGCATTGAAATCAATTTGATTTTTTCTATCGATCTCAATTACAGAAGCAAAAAACCAACAAAACTCTTCCCAACTAAGACAGAGCTCTCTTCTGAGAGCCCAGACTACCTTGCGAAAGCTGCTGTTTCTTCCAGTTTCAACACAACAAATCTGCCATGAAATATGAGGAGTATGCATATGTCCCTGTCACTGGGCATGCCTTTTGTCAGTACCATGGATGTAGCAAACTCACCAAGAAGCTAATATTTTAAGAAGGGTCATGATACAGTTCCCATTCAGTGCACAGTGTTGGGATCTTGGTTGTGTGAGCATAGAGTGGCTGCATGGGCATGGATATACAGGGTAGATATGTACAATGTATTTTCTGGGCAGTCAGTGTATTTTTTTCCATAGTTTACATGGGGGGTCAGCAAGAACCCTGTTAAAAGTTACTCAGAGCAGGCTAAGCCAAGCCGTCCTTTAAAATCTTATGGACCTGCTGAAGTGAATACTTGGGAAATGCTGCATAAATGTGAGTTCCATCCACTGGTGGGTATTTGTTTTGTCCTGCTTATTGTTAACAAACATTGTTACCAATATTTTTCAGTGACACTAAATCTGGAAGGCTGTCCTTTAACAAACCCTTCGTTTTAATTTTGCGCCTCATCACCAAACTGATTCAGACCCTGGGATCAGTTACACTTGTATAAGCTCAATGAAAGAGTTGGAGTTACTCCAGGCTTGCTCAGGAGTAGCCGAGATCAGGCTCTGCTCCCTGGAGTTTATTTCCTTATTGGCTGCTGCTCCTCACAACTGGGGCTGGTGGTGCTTTTGTTCTGCACTCCTGCTTGTGCATTTTATATCTGTGGGAACAGACACAAGTTTGCACTGTGTAATTGGTTGTAACTCCAAACCCCTTTCCTTAAGGGCCGCAAGGTTTAAATGAGATGCTCGGCCTGAGTGTTGTGTTGGGCTCAGACTCTGCCAGGCTGCCCTTCTCCAGGCACACAGTGCAGGTCACCTGAAGAGTGCTGTGAAGAGTGTCTGAGCTGTTGTGCTTGGCTGAGCCCCAGGAACTTTGCCTTCTTGGCAGCTGGAAACGTGACCTTCTTTTTGTTTCACTCTGCTCTCTGGTTACTGTCACAAAAGTGGTAGGTGTTGTTCTTTTAAGAAGAAAGTGTGGTCTGCTGAGCAGACTAGCAAGGACAAAGGCCTTAAATGATGCTGTCTGTTTTCCTTTTTAATTGATTTCTTTTATAAATGCTGTCTGACTTTGCTACCAGTCCTGACTGGAGGGCAGGCAGTGTTCACCAGTGTGAAAGGCTCTATTTATTCTTCATCCACAGCTTTGAAGGGAAGCACAAAGGTAATCAGTACATTCTAAATAGAGAGTGCAATGCAGACAACTGCCATTTATAATAAATAAAGAATGTTTTCTGTGTGTGTTTTCTTTAAGAGCACTAATGGTAGTGCTTTGGGGTACTTGTGACAGATTATAGAGTGTCCAACCCTTGGCTTTGCACTATTTTTCTACCTATGTTTTTACAGCACTACTGTCATTTCCATTTGATTGATGGACTTGAAGTTGTGAGTCTTACTTTAATGAAGCCTCAAGGACAAAGATGTAGGAGCTGTACGGTCTCTTTAACCATAACCAGTGTTGCAATGTCCCAATGTCCTCTGCATGTTAAAATCGGTGGGTTTTTCATGTTTTGTGACCTTACCCATGACCAACACACCCTCTGCCAGTCTAGTTTCTTTCCTCATCCTCTCCCTCTTTCCTTTGGTCTGTTTTTGCTAAAATGCCTAATGGGACGAAGGTGTCTGGTATTTTTTTCATTACTACTGTTGTGTTAATGAACCAGTCAAGTTCTTCCCTCTGTTAAAGAAATGCAACTGAAGGCAGCTGTCTTGCCCAGAATCCAGTAATGGGCAAGTTTGACCTTTTTTGATTCTTTATGTGTTTTCTGAAGCTAATGCAGATCTCTCCATAGAGTGGGAATTTGTTTAAATGGTTTGAAGAACGGTATTTCATAAAAGCACAGCACACATGCCTAGCTGTAAAGCCTGGGAAAACAACACCATTCAGTTTATTTTTAAGTGCTCGATTTAAGTGCAGTTAGTTCCCCATCAGAGGCTAATTCCTATGGAGCATGCCTTATTGCCAGTGCCTGGTTAGGTGCCTGGTGAGGGTTTTTGCTACAGATTTGAAGTCATCAGGACTCCATTTTTCCTGCCTGTATGAAAGACAGAGTTTATTTTTTTTTATACGATCCATGCCTGGAAAGCTCCCCAGTCAGCCCCCCGGCTCCAGGATGGCAGCAAGGGTGTTTGGAGCAATCACCCAAACACCTGACTCCAGCCCCACACCCCTGGATGCCAACATGGCTGTCCCTGACACCACCCTGCTCACCAGGTCTGGTGTCTCTGACAGCATGGCGATGCCCTCAACCACCTGGGAGGCTGGGAGTCTTGGAAGGTCTTCGCTGATGTTGAAGTCATGATCCAAATCGTCGTCCAAATCATCCAGCTTAAACTGCTACTGCCACTGGGGAATGGCTGCAGAAGCAAGCACAGTAGTGAGATACTGACAGAGTCTACAGGGCTTGTGGCAGAGGATCGAGTCCTTTTCTGGTAACTCACAGCTGAGTCAGAGATGGAGCTGCTTTCTGAAGAACAAGAACTGGGACTCCTGGGCAACCAGTCTACCCAGAGCAAGACAGAGAATACCCATAATATCCTGCATGTAACCTTGGGACCAGAGAAGATCTGTGCTACAGTTGCATTGCCACTGCAAGGCAGAGCACTGTCAGCAGGGCTGCCTCGACAACAGCTTGGCCTGGGCCAGTCCCACATGGCTTGTGGTGCTCGGAGGCATTGCCTGGACAGGTGGGAGGCGGTGCTCCCTATGAGGTTGGGAGTAGCATGGTGGCTCTGGGCTGGCTCAGCCAGCTTTGGCTGCTGTGGGCCTGGACAACTCACCAGGGCTGGAAAGCTCTGCACAGACAGCACCCCTCCAGCAGCCCAGCAGCAGAGGCCCTCCCAGCAGACGCTGGCACAGCCACCATCTGACTGGCCACAGTTACCTCTTTGGGGCTGCCAAGGGCCTGGATGAAGTCCACAACTTCCTGTTCTTCTCTGTACAGTTCCATGGCCGCTACGAGTGGTGCTGCTGCTGCCCCTGTGGGCAGCAATGCCCCCGATCTCTCTGCAAAAAATGGCAATCCTCTGGAATGGCCTTCTGGTGAAGAAGAGTTTACGCTGGCAGACAAAGATTCCTTTAACCATTCAAAAAGGACCATTTTTGTTCATCAGTCTGTATTATGCTCCTGTCCTCATTCATCTTTGCCATCTCTTCTGTAGTTCTAGATTCCTTAACTGCTAAGCCTGCTTTGGACTTTTCATGTTGGTTAAAATCTCCATGCCTTTTCCCTGCTAAGCTCAAATCAGAGTCTCCCTCCTTGCCTTTCTATCTCCCCTCCTAGATTCTTTACTCAAAGTTTCTTTACCCTAACTTTCCCTAAGTTTCTTGTTCCCACTTCTCCATTCAAGTTGTCTCCTACTATCCTGTCATGACTCCCAGTCCAAGTCTCCAATATCAGGCCTGTTCAATTTCAGTGACCCTGCCTTTGTAATGCATTTATTTGTATCCTTCCTTGGATTTCCAATGGGAAATACTCCTGTAATGTATGTGTAAAAGAGAAACATTGTTTCAGAATTTGCCAGGTATATCCTGCAACTTGGGACAGTTGGTCTATCATGGCTTTTAAAGTAATACTTTTTAGATAAACTACACTCTACATGTGAAGGTTATTTTTAAAAGAATAACGATTCTTTAATTTAGTGTTCTGTACTTCAAATTCACATTTGTCATGAATTTATATCAACTGTCCTGACTGCCCTTATATATAAAACAAACCTTAGGAGAGGAATATTTGAACACAGCCTGAACTGGTACCTTTGAGTCATCTTACCACTTTGCATTGTTCACTAGCTTAAATCTCGACTTTTTTACGCCCTGAATAGGATATGATACAAAACAAAACCACAATGCCTGACGGCAAAGAGAAAATACAGAGGGTTCAGAGATACCATTAATATCGAGGGGAATATCAATCAATGTATATTTTTCTTCTGCAGCATTTTCATGGAAAGCCTACATTATTTTTATATAAATTTTGGTAAGATGACTTGGTCCAGCTGCCAGAGCTGAGGCATATGGAATCAATAAAAAGAATTCAAAGAAGAGAGCATGTATGTAAACAATGGGGGGTAACTCAGCAAGAATCAAGCATGTACTTTTTAGTTAATTAAAAGCAAAATCCTGGTTCTAAGCTTCTGGTGGTTCATAATCCCTCTAAGAATTTTGGTCACACTTCTCAGCTGTGGCTTGGGTTTGGATGGCCTCAGGCCTGGGTCTGTGGTTGTGCTTAGTGTTATGTGTTTGTGAGTGTCCCACTGCAGGCAGTATGGTCTGTGCCAAGTTTGTGCCCATGCTTAAACTTTTGTGGGACAACAACTCTGCAGGAGAAGAGCCCTGTATGGTTTTGGGCAAAGAGATTGATGAGATTGCATGCCTGCCTCCCTCCAGCAGCCTCCTCTGTTGCTGATACCACCCAAGGGGATGAAGGGTGGTGCCACCCTTCCTTCCCAAGCCTACCTTCTACCTCCTTGTGCTGTGTCCATATATTTAGGGTGTTACTGTGGCATGGCCAGACCCAGCCATGAACAATGAACGCCTTCACTCCTGAGTTCCAGGGCATCCTGGAACTTGTGTAGGGGGGTTGCAGCTCTTAAGTATCTAGAAGGGCTTCTCCAGCACAGGCTGTGATAGTGCCCTACAGGGAAGTGTGTTTCTCCCTTATATGTGCCCTGGCAGAGAACTATGTCTGCAACTCACCTCTTCTTCCCCAGACTGATTTGTACAGGAGCAGCGAATAACTCTGTGATCTGACTTCCACTCCTCTGCGAGGGCAAGTTCCTCTCAGACCCAAGGCTTTCTGTCAGTCCGTGTAACTGTTGAGCTGAGGTCACCCTGGAGGAATTAGCACCAGGGGTGACCAGGATTACATAAGACCTTGGTAATGGTTTTGTTATAAACCCCATTACTCATAACTTATCATTATAAAATCATACAAAGTGTAATTTTATATAATTGCCATTATTTAGCTATATATTTATATGCACATGGTGATCTCGAACACCTGAAGTGACCAGTTTCTTCCCAGACATGATTATGCTCCGATGCATGTGAGACTAAAATACGTGGCAGCTGTCCAAGCCCTGGAGAAGCCTGGGATGATAAGGTGCTGGCACTATGAAGGACATTGCTTTGCTGCAGGAGGATGGAGGCGCTTGCTGGGGGAAGATGAAGACACAAATCATGTGTCACCATCATTATTTTCCCCCTGGCCCCAACTGATTCTTTGAAATGGCAGTGATTTTGTTCAAGTTGTGCCCTCTGCCTCTTGTTATGGGATTTTGCACATCCAAAGGTTCCTGTAAAGATGATACTGATGTGGGCCTGCTGGGGTTGCTGCTGTGCTGTAACATTCCCATGGCCTGGAAAGACAGAGGAAGGAGAGGTTGCTTTGTACCCTGTGGACTGCATCAAGCAGCATCTGTATAATAGCTTCCTCCCCAAGATTTGTTTTAAAAAATGGATGCTAATGTACTAAAAGGAAAGATACCATTTATTTTTAAACAGGGTTTAACTAGAAACCATGCTGTATTCTTTGTATTTCTCTTACATTATGTGCTTTGGGAAAGCAGTGAGGGAAGGATGTACAAGTCCAAGCTGGGAAAAGGAGATGAACAAGAAAAAACAAGTGCTTCATCCAGGATTCTGCCATTTACTGTTGCAGTACCCACAGTAAATCCATGGGCTCCATTTTGTGCATCTCTGGGCTATGTTGGTAATATTGAGAGTCAAATGCAGATAGCCCTAAGGTGAAACACAGCCCACCACCCTGCTTTCGTCCCTGAGGAGCACAGAGAGGATGATGTGTGAGAGGAGAGCAGCAGCAGTGCCAGACCAGCCACTGCTCACCAGTGACTTTGCACAATGGAGGGAGTGAGTGTGGGAAGAGAGAAAGGTGAGCAAGAGGGAAACAGTGATGAGCATCAGAGAGATTTGTCTTGGACTTCTAAGGTGTTTCCTTGCCCACCATACCCATCATTACAGTGTTATTGCAGGTTATGCTACATCACCTCTGTTTCTGGGAAGCAATGGAGCTGCCAGAAATGCTGCAGAGAGGTATTGATTGCTGGCTGTTCTTGCTCTGAATCTCCTGCCTGTGTCCTGGCATGGAAGCAACTTGTAGAGTTGCTTCTAGAGAGATTATATGGGTGGACAGGTAAAATAGCTGCCAGGAAGCAAAAAGCAGGTTACAATAATTGTCTGCCTCGAAGGCAAAAAACCAATGTGGGATTGTGGCCAGCTGATTTCATAAAGTGATTTAGCAGGCTTTTTTTGAATATTGCCCAGTCTCTGATGGGAAATAGTTGATGTGGGTGCACTGGCAAACTTTGGAGGACTATGGCATGTATTACCCTGTGGAAACCTGCATGTATTGCTGAGCTGGGTGTTGGTGCGGGCTCCATAGGGCATGAGATAGGTACAGCTACCCACAGAGGCATGGTGTGTGGAGGCTGTTCTGCCCTGCTGTGACAGGATGTCACGAGGTCCTGCCTTTGCCTAGTGAATCCAGCACAGGGGTGGGACAGAGCTCTGAGCTGACATCTTGGACAGCCGTGTTTAAACTTTTCCTCCTTTTCCAACCTCTTCAGGGAATTTTTAGAGCCTGTATTAAGGCTTCAGGAGGGCACAGCTTCCTTGAGTTGACTCTATAGAAGAGAGTCTGCTACAAAAGACTTGTAGGCACCTGACTTGAGCATCCTTGTTGTGAAATCTTGAACAATCATGGGAAGCCGTACTAATGTCCTTGTCTCTTCCTGTTCTCCTCCTCCGTTTCCCCAAAACCTCTCATGTGCAGCCTTAAGGAAGGGTGAAACTGAGACACTTGGCAGAGATGCATTCCTGCTCCAGAATGTAGGACACCCTTTCTCAGAGGTATAGTCCCATCACACTTGTGCACTCAGCCACATCTGGGCCATGTCTGGAGGCTGTCCACAGTGAGCATAAGGGTTTTACATGGGT